GAAATATAATATATAATCTTTTTTATATAAATGTATCAAAAATATGCTTTTGTAGTCGCTCCTCTGCACCTGCTCGAGTAGTTAGGCGGAATAATCGCTAATTGGTGTTTTGTCTGTGGCAAACTTAAGGGCTCGAGAAAATAAATTAGACTAGCTCGCGGAGAAATGTGGCGATCGGTAAAGAAAATTGCTGAATGAACTTTTAGCAATCTTTGTTTTTGTAGGCGTATGTGCACGTGTACTACTCTCACCAGTTATTTTAAATTCATTATAATAATTTATTATAAGAAAATGATTTTAATCTTAAGTACAATTAATTAAATAAAGGTAATGAGCAAAAAAAGAAATTTTGCAAGATCCGTTAGTTAAATTCTCCAAGAAATCTCAGCCAAGAAATCTGCCGACAAATGCGCATTCTCGACCCTGGTGAAAAACGTCAATTTAATACTGATTGCAACACAATAAAATTATATAATTAATGATAGATATTAATTTCGCAAATGAATGCAGCGACAACTTGATGTTCAACCAAAAACTGCAAAACGTTCTTTTAACCGCAATGTACTGTACTCTACGTCGCCAAAGTGTTCCCATAACTGCTCCTGTAAGCTACTCTTTCCTCCTTATCTTGACCCGATTACTAATCGACGTGATTGTAAAATTTGGACATAACGGGCAGGCGAAAAGGTATTGGTTGAGAAATTTGTTATTTAGCAAACTATGATTTTATGAAAATGCATCTACCGGTTGACAGCTCCGGAGTCGTAGGTGATCATATCAAGAAAAATATTGTGAATAATCCCCAACAAAGTGATGATAGTCAAGAATGCTACTTAGCAATTGCTGATGAGGAAGATACGATCCAGCGGCACTTAGCAAGCCTTACTTGAACAGACACACTGTTTTCGGATATAAAACTTTTGCCCACTGACTTAAAAATGTATTTCTTGGCTGTTGTCTATGACATTGCAGGGCGATTGATTATTGACATAGTCGGCGATTTCCACATAATAGAAGATAATCATGTTGCAACTGTAGCAGCGCAGCTTAAAGCGATAATATATTAATTAATAATTAATTACACGCGCTACATTCCAAGGTAATTTAAACCATGCCAACGAGAAGGCGGACAGAAAAACACGGAAAACAGTGCCCATCTCCGCTTTTCAGTATTGTTAATAATATGGTTAATTTATGAATACTGCTACTCCAATGAACCTTATCATTTTTGCTTTGGCTTAATTTAGAAACCTTGATAAGTGATGAGTATCCAAATTTTGTTCTAAAATTGTATCCAAATTTTGTTCCGCTGTTAAATGGTATTTTAACAGCGGTTTCCAATACTTGTTTGCCATTTAACAGAGCTGAATGACGACTGCGTTGCCCTTTTTTGACTATTTTTCTATTGGTTGCATAGATCGTCGCACGTTGACATCAATCATTTACATGCATTGGTATGCAGTGCATTCTTTACAAAGAGCATCATAGTAGTATAAATAAAAAAGTTTCTAATTGCAGTTTCCTTAATACTCTTAATAATAAGACTGGTGTTTGGCACCCGAAAACTTTGGGATATATGAAATGAGTAAAAAATATGTAATTTAAAAACTATTAGAGCCGAAATTTAGGAAAATTTCAATTTTTTTATAATTTTAAATTAAAAATTATAATCAATATTTTTGCTTCCATAGAATAACATATCTAGTGGTCAAAATTTCTTTCTAGATGTTTGAAAAGATGAAAAGCTTTTTTCATCAAAAGCTAGTGTTTGTTACTTTTTGTAAGTTAACAAGAGTTATTTAATACCACCATTTAATAACATTAAAATCCAATGGAGTTTGAAAGCTCATTTATTTATAGCGTTAAAAAGCAATTGCTGCCATTTCACAACAAATATCATTTGTCTCATAAAGAAAAAATATTTGATAGAATTTTGTGACTCTCTATATGTTCCAATAGATAAATAACTTTGCGAAAAAATTCTCATCACTTGTAAGATTATATGTAAAAATTAACCAAAGGTATCAGAGAATTTGTAAAAATTAAGGAAAAATATTCAAAAATCGAACGGCAGGTCTTTAAAAATGAACAAAAACTAGTCAGAATGTGTTTGAGGGAAAATAAATGTGTTTTTTGATACAATTAAAGAAACGATTTCAAAAATTCTCACCAAGAAATTATCATTTCTATTTAATATATAGGCATTATACACACAGCTGGTTCTCAGTATGCCCAGAAATCGCAGGATATTGTCGATGACATGGAACCAGATATTGATGATCCATCTACAAAGTTCTACAAGTCACGTTTCACAAAGTCAACAGTAGCTGACAATAAGGGACGGACACCTATATACAATTTTGATGAATGGTCTCGCGCTCATTACGGCCAATCATTCGAAAGACGCAAAACGGCGAAAGAAAAGCACGATCGCCAGACATACGAGGCAAAAGACCAAAAGCTGATGAGTCAAAATGAGTACCTGCTTTTGGTTATAATGATATTTACTTGTTTAGGTTACTACAAATTTGCGACAGAATCGTCTTATGATACACCTAAAGATCAAACCAAAAGAACACAAAAAACAAACGATGAATAGTCGTAAATGATGCAAAGGACAACATTAAACTACGACGTCGTTAATGATTCTGTGATTTGTATTATATTTTAGGACAATTTCTAGTTAATTTGCTTTACAAAGAAGTGGTGTAAATAAAGATTTATCAAAATCGAGTACTGCGCTTGCGTCCCGTGTATTTAGTATCTGGTCGTGTGTCAAGACCTTGACGACGTCTACGTTCTTTTTTAGCTAAAATCCAGTCGCGAGATTTCTTCAATGGTTTACCTCTGGCTGCTTTACACATATCTCGCTTTTTTATGTAACTAATACGTTTCTCCTCTTCCTCGTTACCTGTTAAGTAGAACAAGAAAAAATAATAAGTAGGACTCATGATGGAGGGCCTAGCGCTTTGGTTACCTAGAGCTTTGGGAAGCGGGGCCGAGCCACCGGTCATTAGAACCAGAAAGTATTTTTTCGCTTTTGTTGAATTAGGATAATCTATAACTAAACCGCCGTAAAAACCAGCTTTCATAGCTTGCGCTGTCACCATTTCAATTTGTTCGGCATTTTCCGGATAGAATTGGAAAACAGCACGAGCCGTACGTGTAAGACAAGACAATAGTGTAGAAAAAAATTTATACAAACGTTTATGCGGCTTATGAGACGTTTTATCGGCATTGCAAAGCCATTGCAATGCGGATATTGATAAAGCCCCGTCAAACGTGCCGGGTTTAAAATTGACTCCTTGACCCATATCGCTTAATATTAAATCTCCCGTCACTTCCCGATCAACAGCTATATCTAGCATGGGTCTTGATATGTCTACACCGATCCATGCATGACCGCTATCCTCTAGCACGCTACCCGACAAGCCAGAACCACAGCCCACGTCTAAAATCAAATATGATTCATCCTCATTTAAAGCCAACAATTCGAGAGCGCGTTCAGCCATTTCAACTTGAATTTCTATTATACGGGAACTGCAAAATATATATAAATAGTTAGTTTACAATATTTATTAAAAAACAAGAAAGTTTTACTTGCTGGAATATTTTTTTGCCTCCTCATCATTGTAGAACTAAAATATTGTAAAATGGTCATCAATGATTAAAATATTTGTTTTCATCTGTTTTATCTCTATCACTGAAATACGTACAATTTCAGGTGGTGCACTATGTTCTGGTCTTCTTGCCATGCTTTCATATTCCCCTTTTTCCTGTTTTGTTTTATAAACAAGGTTTCACGTAATCGCACGTGTTGAATTTTCCGATTATTTTTGTTTATTTGCTTCTTGCTCTTATCTGTAGAGTTGCAATATTTGATGTGTATTTCACGATTTTCACGTAAACTTTGTATCAACCTTAAATTATGCCTTATATAAAAAAAATTCTTTGAATCTCATTTATATTATATGGCAATTCTTTTCAGCTTGTTTTTGTTTTGGCCAAAAAATTGCATAAAATAATTGAAACATGTCGTTTGTTCTAAGGAATTTAGCAGGCTTGCTGAGACAGAGGTAATTTTAAAAAAAATTTAGTACAAAGGAGCATTACATTCAAATGTTCCACATTTTTAAAGGCACTTAACCGTTTACAATCCGCCTAAATTATTGCAAACATCTCTAGCTCCAAATGCGGGCAAACCCGTTGATAAAACTCCTGCAATATCAGAACAAAAGTTGGATGTGAGCGATTCCTGTAAAAAGAGACTGCGTGAAATTTGCACAGATAAAAATTTTTTACGCATAACGGTGGAAGGCGGAGGATGTTCTGGTTTCCAATATAAATTCGATTTAGACACTAAGCTCAACGAAGACGACTTAGAGTTTGGTGAAGAAAAAGCTAAAGTAGTGATTGATATTGTATCATTAGAATACTGTACAGGAGCGATGGTCGACTATCATGAAGAATTGATACGTTCTGGTTTCCGTATAATAAGTAATCCTTTAGCTGAGCAAGGTTGTTCTTGTGGGGCATCGTTTGCTTTAAAAATGGACTAGGCGTTCTGTGATCAACTTGTAAAGTTCGTTGTACTTGCTAGTTAGTAGAAAAACAAATATCGAAAATTGTTTTATCCAAGAACATATTTATTTATTATGTTTATTATTTTGTATTTACATAATTTTATGAGTTTTCCACTTAAGACTATAAATGATATCTAAAAACTATAGGCCAACGAAATATATATAAACAATGTAAAGAGTTGGAAATGTTTTGCTTTTTTTTTTCCTCTACAAGAATGCAGATAAATGTTACATATTACATTAACAACGATAAGACAGGCTTGATGTAAATGAATTCCTTCATTTGCAAGCTGCCAACTGTTCACTTAAACTAATAACTTGCTCAGTCAGCACACTTATTTGTTCCTCATAGTTTACTCTAGTGGTGGCCTGTGGAAAGTAAAATCAAATATGTTATCCCAATAAAAGAAGTCATTCCGTCTATTTTTTTGTTTAATCACCAAATCTTCCTCCAATAACTGTGAAGCCTGATTAATGCTTTGAATTTGTTCATCCTTTGCTTTTAATTCCTGGGTGGCATTTTCGAGACAGTTTTGTAAATGATCTACTTCGGATTTGTATGAGTTTACGTGCGATTCAGCAGAATGCTTATCTCTTAATAATTCTTCATATTTATGGCTTAAATTATTGAACAATAATTGTTCTTTTGTGGGTGGTATTGAAAGTTCTTTCAACGAATCCCTTGCGCTAAAGAAAAATGTTTTTAATGTTTAGAAAAATAAATTGTAAATATTATATTCATCTTTCACTTTATATATATTATACCTTTTGACACATGACGCTTGCACACTTAAACCCGCAGCTGTGGTACTGCTGTTACAATAAAGTTCATTTAACACAACTGGTTTAAGTGAGGCATTTATTTTTCTCTCTTGACCTTCGTTATTGCTCTTGAAAGAATCGCCATACAATTTACTAATTTCATATTGTGAACGCCAATAGGCGACTTCTTTTTCTAAGCTTGTAAGTCGTTCTTCAGCGGTGGTCTGCAATTGTTGGTTATTATGCAGCGGTGTGCTATCGCTACCAGAAGCACTTAACGCATCTTCACTTCCCAACTGGAAAGTTCATTAAGCAAACATTAGCAATAAAGGCTTACTTTCATACTTACTATGCTGGCGGCCTCCACAAGTTTCGTTTCTAAGTCTGAGTTGCGGCTTTGTAAAATATCCACTTCCCTCCTTAATTTCTTTTCCATTTCAGAATGATCTGCATTACGTTTCTCCAGTGATAATTCCAGATTTCTAATGCGCTCCTCTTGAATTTGAAGTTCTTTATTTTTGTCGTCAATCTGAATTTCAAGACTATTACTACTGCTACTACTTACTAAAAACACATTTGCTCACTGTTAGGCTTACCAAAGTTGTTAGTTGGGCGGTCTCCATGATTTTTTTTTGCAACTCCTCGAACATTAAAGCTTCTTGAACTCTATCTCCGTCCGGACCTGCAGGAAGATTCACTTGTTGCACTGATGGCTTGCCCAGCCTTTGTCCTTGTTTATTGTCTTTATCCTTTCTGCGTCCTTCGTTAACAGCCAATTCATCCTGCAAAGCAGCCACACGGTGTTCTAACTGCTTGTTACGGAATCCTAAAGAATCGACCTCTTGTTCAGCTCTTCTTAAAGTAGATTCCTTTTGTCTTAGCTGATCACGCAGTCCAGAACTTTTTGATTGCTCATCTAATACCGCCCTTTTTAGTACAGAAGCTTGAGCTCTGAGCTACACTTGTAAATGGACGGGGTTATTGAAATGAAGGGCGTTGCAAAACATACACTACTTACCTTAGCGTATTCACCAGCTAATTTTTGGTATTTTGTTTCGGAAACAAAACCCTCCATGATGTAAAATTCTCACGTATGTTAACACAATATATCCATTTTATCACAGGTTTTCTATATATAACATAAAGAATAAATTATGCTGATAGGATATTCTTTATTTATTAAATAGTCGCACAATGTAGAAAATAAACGAATTCTCCTTTTCTAAAGGGTGATAGCTCGCAAATCCCTGTGTCTAAATGTGTTGCCATCTTAGCAGAAATAATTTTGTTTACCATTACCAGCTGTTGATAGTGTTGCTTGAAAAAACATTTTAAAAAAATCGAAGGACAAAAAGTAATCGCGGCGGCATTCTTGTAAAAAGATAAATAAATATATTCTTTCTCTTTTCTTTTACGATGTCAGCGGGCTCAATAGATTTAAGTTCATATCGTGATCAACATTTTAAGGTAAATGCAATGCATTCCTCTCATACTCGTTCCTTAAAACTAATTTATTTTTAGGGTTCTCGAGCTGAGCAAGAGCGGTCTTTGCGAGAATCTACCACTTTGTATGTAGGCAATTTATCATTTTATACAACTGAAGAGCAAATTCATGAATTATTTTCCCGTTGTGGTGAGGTGCGCCGTATAGTAATGGGTTTGGATAAATATAAAAAAACTCCATGTGGATTCTGCTTCGTAGAATATTATACAAGACCAGAAGCCGAAAATGCTATGAGGTTCGTAATTTGACAATTTTTAAAATTCGTGTATAATTGAACCTCTTTTCCATATAGATATGTAAATGGTACACGTTTAGATGATCGTTTGATACGTGTTGATTGGGATGCCGGATTTATAGAAGGCCGGCAATATGGACGTGGCAAAACTGGTGGCCAGGTTCGCGATGAATATCGTACAGATTACGATGCCGGCAGGGGTGGTTATGGCAAGTTGTTATCACAAAAATTAGCTCCTAACACAGATAATCGATGATTTAAGTTCAATTTTAGTAATAGTTTAAATATATAGAAATAGTGTCTTGATATTCATTTTTTTTTTGTCTAAATTCCACATAACCTGCGTACTTCTTGCTATATAAATGAAACAAAAGTGTGACAGAGATTTCATGAACAGCTCGTGTAAAATCTCGAATTTAATCGCGGAAATTTTAAGCGCGATAACAAGAAAACCTTTCTTAATGAAAAATATGCGCAATTCGACGTATTTATGACTTTCTAAAATGCTGTCGTAGTAACCGTCAATTTCTGATTGTCGCATACTGTAATTCTAAAGGGTTTTTGAAAGGTTCAGTCTTATGCTGCATTTGACTTCTTTGTCTGCAGTGCGAAGAAATTGCAATTGCTTAAAAATTATCGATTAAATTAAGCCAACATTGTTTATTTTTGCAAATGAACGGTGACGGACGGAGCTTTTCCCAATTTATTGAATTTGACTAAACAGACACTAGACGAGGGCGGCCTAACTTTTAACTTTTACGAAACCTAACATGACTGCATTTAGAAAGTATAGTAAAAAATACAAACGTGCTATAGCACGCGGTTATTGCGATTGTATTCCATATATCACTTAAACAATGCACCAAAAAGAAAGCGAAACAGATGGAAGACTATTTAGATTATTTGTTTAACAGCTAAAATTATTCTAATGTCAACCCACAACAAGACACCATGGCAATGAAAATGGCCTAATATCCACGCAACAAAGTTAAGGTTAAGACAGTTGTATCATATGTTGGAATTGATCAATTTGTCTACAAACCACATCTTGACTCCCACTAATTGAAATAAATTGACGGGCAGTAGTAACTTGTCAGTAGTATATGGGAATCAAAAGAATTACGTCAAAAAGTCGGACAGGGTGGACAGACCATTTTAAGATTTGTAAATTATTCAATCTTTTTAATTATTCATGTAATTTTGAGCTAAGGAAGAACCAAGCCCAATGTCGGCAGGTTCAAGGTTCATATCCGCGACTATCGTATCCACAACAATCATCGAAAAGCGTTTTGCACGTAAGCCACCCAATGCCGGCAAATTTATGGCTAGTCCCATGGCTTTAACGAATTCGCCGGAAGGATCTGCCAACATGCGTACACGGCCATCTGCACCATGTCGTTTACCCCAAGCCGACATAACGAAAGGATCGTTAACTGAAACGCAAATTATGTCATGGACATATAATGCCTTCTTCAGTTCCTTTGCAGGCCCAACAAAACCAGGCAAATGAATCTAGAAAAAGGAGTAAACAAAAATAAGTATATTCCCGTATCCCATACTTACAATTATATGCTACCGTAGAACAAGTAAAAGGCGTAAAAGCTCCTGGTACGCCGAAAATAATAACTTTCTGCCCGGCCGTAAGCTCGCGGATATTTATTTTGTTTCTCGGTGAACCTTCAAACAAATCCACCGAAGGGAGCCTATCACCAACCTTAAAAAATATTATAGAAGGAATCCAATAATCTCTATTTGCATATTGATTAAATGCGGATATATCAATAGTACTCATTCCTTGAAATCTTCAATAAAACGAAACGGCTTCCCCAAACCATCAACATATTTATTTTCTTATTTTTGGAAGAGGAAACGTAAACTTTTTGCTTAAGAAATACTTTGGGCTTTAAATCTTACGATTTTTAATTGACGTACCTTAGTCGTAGCTGTAAATTTTGTTTGAAAATTTCGTCCCATGCTCGCCTTCAAAGAGCAATTCCACACCAATAGGCGAGCACTAAACATCTTTCACAAAATGGTTTAATAGTAAATTTTATTATGTTTGCATTTAATTTAATTCAATAGTGACATTGATGGCATTTTCGAAGAACATCGTCCATAAAGGTTAGAAATTTGTATTCTTCCTGTAGTTTTTTGTCAATTTTTATTAACTAAAACTTATGAATTTTTTGTGTTTATCACTAGAAGACGCTTGCCATAGGCGTTGCTGAACAAAAATTTCACTCAATTTCCATCCTCCCATGGAGTGCGATTCGAAATTGGCTGTGGAAATTTCGTGTCTCCTTTTAGCTCTTCCGATCAAGCTTTAAATTGGTAGTAATCCGTTTATAAACACGGCGGTGATAAGAAACCCCAAAAATAAAAATTACGAAAGAAATCTTAGTGCATTTAGCAATAAATAAGGCGCTACAGCCGTTCAGTGGAAAACCAACCTATATTGACTAATAGACCATCCCCGCAAGTAAAAAATTATAATGTTAATTTTCTACAGCCGCAAGTAAGCAGCTTACATACTGTATTCACAAAAGAATTTACCATATATCTATATGTGTAGCATATTGAATGTTTTTACAGATGAAGTAATTTTTAATTTATTTATTTTTAATATTTTGAGCCAATGAGCAGCTAAGTCCAGTACCATCAGGTTCGACATTCAATGCCAACACCTTTGCGTCCTCTACTATCATTGAAAACCGCTTTGAACGCATGCCTCCCAATGGTGGTAAGTCTATAGTAAGATCCATAGCTTTAACAAAAGCAGCCGAAGGATCTGCTAACATGCGAACTTTACCATCTGCACCATGTTCTTTGCCCCATGCTGACATAACAAAGGGATCGTTTACAGAAATGCAAATTACTTCGTTCACATTTAGCTCCTTTTTCAATTCATCTGCAGAGTCAACATAACCGGGTAAATGAGTCTAGAAATTAATAAAAATTAAGCTGGGATATCGCGAATACACAAAGAATTACCTTAGAGCAACCAGGGGTAAACGCTCCGGGTACACCAAAAATAACAACCTTTTTCTTGGCGGTCAACTCCGAGATATTTATTTTATTTGCCGGTGAACCTTCAAACAACTCCACGGAAGGAAGTGTATCGCCAACCTGACAAAATAAAATTCACAGAATTGAATAATTTTTATTTGCAAATTGAATATATGGTATTAGTCATGGAAAAATAAAAAAATTGATTGCTCTTTAAATCTGTCTTCAAAACTAGAAATGAAAAAAAGAGAAATCTAAGGCGACCTTGACATTTCACATTCTTGTGAATGATTCAATACAATATTCAATACAAGTAATTACTCTTCCACAAATACTGGATTACGTAAGTTTCCTTTAAAAAAAACAACCAGCCTTTGGAAGTTTTAAACTGTGTAAATTTTTACTCAATTTACCTTAATCATTACTGGAAATGTTGTTTGAAACGTACGGATTGCGCTTGCCTTCAATGAAGAATTCTTTAATAATATACGAGCTGCAAGCATTTTCACTCTTCAACCCGCCAGAAAAATTGTCACAATAAAAAGAAACCCAAACATTGGAAGCGTTGCCAACTTTAAGAAACGTTTTGTTTTTTTTTTTTATTCCATTATTAGAGAATAAATATAAAAAAACTTATAGATTATGTCAATTTATATGGAAAGTTTTAGATACACATTAAATGTTCGGCAAGACGTTCGATATCATCCAAACTTAATAGCCTCAATTTTGTTTCAAAGTCTAGCATAAATTCTCTAGTCAGGCGTTCAGATTGCTGCTCGTTGTAGTACTTGCGGAAGGAGCGATGAATAATTTCCTTCAAACCTTCCTGCTTCATAACTATTAAATTTAGTTTGGTACCATCTTTAATGCTAGGATATGCTGACAACGGTTGTTCATCGTTTAGTGTGCGCCCAACTAATAACAGTTTTTGTAAATTCAACGGTATATTTACTTTCTTTTCTATTTCCTTTTTAATCTCAACGATTGTTGTTGCTTGAGACACCTGCAAAATAAGATTACATTTTACATCAGGAAGAGAAATTTAATAACACTTTTACTTACATCTAAGGTGAAATCGTTACCTTTCAAAACTTTAATAACAATTTGCATATTCTGGTTTTATTTGATTTTGTTACCAAAAATTAATAAAAATACAAACAAGAGTCGGCTAAAAACTTTATGAAAATGATTTACTGTATTATTCATAGATGGCAACGCGAATGTAAATAATTCTGTATTGAAGTAATTGCAGATGTTTCTATATTGCGGTGTTTTTTTCGCAAATCGGTATAAAATATCGCATATGTCTATAAACACAGCAATGTATTGATCTGTAAATTCTGTACAAAATCCCTTAGTCAGTTGAAATATGAATTTATAATTTAATAAATATATAACTGGTTTCCAAAAGAACAGTGATAAATAATAAAGTATGTTGAATTTTTCGTTATTCAAAATCTTTGTGCATAAAAAAACAAAAATATAAGCGATTAAGCTAACTGCAAATGTGTTGTTTCAGAGTAAATGTTTTCCTATTTCGAAATTCGAACATTTTACTATCTTTTTTCGTATTTAAATTATGGCAACCAAGTTGTTGTAAAAAAAGAAATGCAACTCTATTTGTAGCAACAACTTAAACCGCAGAAAGAAATTTTGTGTGTGGATTATTTTTTTATAATATTATATATTCATCGTAATATTTTTTGAAACTGCAGTTAATGTACTATCGACATTAAAAAGCTGATAACTTTTATGAAATATATCTGTAAACATACGAAAAGAAAGACGGCCGCATCTATGGTAAAATTTTTTTACGTTTTTTTCTCTCTTAGTGAAAGAAAAGTTTTTTTTCTCGTAATTTTAGTTAATTAAAGATATTCCAAAGAAAAGAAAGAAAAAGTGTTAAAGAGAAAACTACAAAAGCAATCAATGATAAAAGTGGATTGCAAAGAACAAAGAGTGAGAAATACGAAAAAGCAGAAGACGTTGACAAACGCGTTTGAGACGGTCGTGTTGCGTGTGTAATTTTCTAAAACGCTGCACGATACCCTGCCCGTTAAAGTACTTTTTTTTTTATTACCTTCCACATAAATCAAAAAAAAAAAGAAGACGAAATATTTTGATGTTTTCTAATTTAAATCGTGGCAAAGATAAATTTAATAAATTCCTTCATATACTGAGGGTGCGTATATTACTTTTATAGTTATGTTTGTGTTCTTTTATATATTGTTTGGTATGTATATACAAATTTTTTTTTTTTTTTATTAACACCATTTTATGGTATACAATGAGAGTTTTGATTTATGCAATTTATTGCATTAATAACGAGCTGCGTAAGTTCTGGTTTTTTTTCATTTGTTTTCTCTTTTCTTTCTCATAAATATCATTATGTTAGCCATAATTTCTTTTATGTGCCTATTTGTTGCTTTAAAGCCGTCCGCTAATTACAGTATTGCCAGAAACATAATTTTATTTTCGACGTAAATTTGTAGGATTTAGAGTCTAGTTGTGAATATAATAGTATATATAATAGTATATAATAAGTATACAGACATGTGCAATATTCGACTGAACGATCACTCTGATCAGTTAAAAAAACTTTCGAAAATTGTTCCACTTGAGAGAAAGTAAATATGTCAACAAAAAAAGGAAAATAATTTAGGTGTATTGTTTATAAACTACAAGTTCGCGTTAACCCAACAAATCCCTTTTATTGTCATATATAAGACTTCCTCAAAACGACTTTTAATCAAACATAGATTCATAGCTAAGAATCATATTCTTCTCACATTTTTTTTTAAATATATCCCATATAAAATATATCCCATTTGATACTTGTACTACACGTAATTTTCTTACAAGGTTTCTTTACGAAATTTATTTATCTCGCAAAATAGTATCGAAGTGTATATTATTTATTCTCTGTAAACAAGACTTCAGCAGATATCGCGTTGGGCCGAACAGAAGAGTTCTCTCAAATCTTTTCCATTTCTTGAAAGGGAAACAAAAAACCTTTTCAAATATTCTTATTCGAATTTTCATAGATATTTTTTTGTAGAATTGATAAAATTAACTACTTCAATGTCTCTTTTTTTAGTCTAAGAATTCAATTCATTAGTCTAAAATTAAAATAATAATAATAACTACTTCAATTTTCGTTTGTTTTTATTTAAATATGTTCTTCGTTGCAAAGCGTTTCAAGTTAAATGAGTAAGTGATATAAACTAAAAATTTTTAGTTTTGCTTTTGCCGGCAAATATATTTAAAAGTATTTCGTGACAATGATTAAATATTGAAGTATTTGTCTGTTTCTAACGTTAACTAATTAGTGTTTGTTCGTCTTATTAAATGATTACAGCATTGTATGCACACAAGCACATACACATACACGCATGTGTACATATGTAGTACGTTTCAAGTTAACGTTAATTCATTCATATTTCTTCGTATGATTGGATATTTGTTCTAAAAAGACAGAATTTGTACAAATAAACGAATCAACATCAAGCTGTGTAAGTTATACCTAAAGAAAAAAATTTGCCCAAGAACTTATAAGTAAAAAAAAAACTGACATCGGCAATTCGCAACATCGACGCAAAGGCAACAGTAACAGCGGTAGAGGCTAGCCTGTTAACCCGTTATGGATATTACAGCAACAGCGGCAACAACAGCAGCATCACTGCTACAAAGTACAACTATTGCAGCTACGATTGCTACCAGTACTGCAAAAACGACGGACGTCCCAGCGACCGTTGCTAACAATAACAATAATAATAGCAGTAATAACAACAACAATAATAATAATAATAGTATCAATAGCAAAATTGCCACAACTAACGGCATTAAGGAAAATAACAGTAATAATATTAACACCACAACCACAACAACTGTTTCAGTACCAATTGTGGTAACAAACATATCACCGGTTGCCGGCGGTATATCAGCAACACAAGCCAAGAGCACAGAGGTGAGTTGTTTTGTTTATTTGATTTTTCTATGTCAAAATTATATATTATATATATATATATATATGTACATATATATATATGTTTATATAATATATATACGTGTGTGTTACATATGCACTTGTGTTTTCGTAAATTCTTTTATACATTCTACGCGTATATATGTAAAAATGTAAACGCATTTCTTTTCCTTCTTTTATACATACTTTCTTTTACATAGTAAGTATATATATATTGCATTATTTTTCTTGGAAATTATTTAAGTTGTACTTCATCTAGTATTCGATATTATTTTGCATTTTATCATAAGTCCGAGTTTCTAAATGGATAAAAATTTCTACTGTTTACAATTTTTAGTAAATAGAAAGTTGTTCTTAGTGAAATATCTAAGAAAATATATCATTTTTTAATACAAATTAACCCTTCGTATACAATGCTCGACGATCTTTTATCATTTTTTAGCTATACTTTGTTAAGGCAATGTTTCCATTGTTAAATGACATGAAAAAAATGTTCAAGTGTGGCTAAACAGGCATGTAATCTGGCCTGCCCATCTTGTATTGGTAACAAAGGCATCCTTTGGCCCAAGGCACAGTATGCAAGCAACCTTTTTTACACAGTAAGTGGGTTGTTTAGGAATCCGTGCAAAAAATTGATGTATCCCACCAATCTTGTAACATGAAGAAACTCTATATATTTTTTTAAAAAACAGTGCAAAAAAATAATGAGGAAATCCACACTACATAGCTATTAAAACAAAAACCATTCATTTTTATTATAAAAAACAAATTGGAATTAGTTCGTAGTGAAAATTCAGCCCATGAGTGCATACAACGTATAAATATTGAAATTGATATTATGAAATTAATCAAAAATGCTATCGTCAGCAGATATGTCAGGTAGGCCTAGCACAACTGTCGGGTTTGATTCAAATGAAAAATTTTGTTCATTATTAGCGGCCTAGCAGCTTCAGAGCAAGTCACTAACACGCGTGTGGGCATAAACTGACTGACTTCTTCACTGCCAAAACTAAAATTTAAAAAAAAATTATTTTTTGGAGTTCGCGAAAGCACAGAAAAATTAATGTAAAAAAGTGCATTCGCTCTGATTGATGAACTGCGTTATTTCGAAATAGTGTAAAAAACCGTGTAAAAAAAAGTTGGGTGGTATAATCTTATTAACACATTGTTACGTTTTGCAATGGAAAACGTTTAATGTCGCCCTCGTTCGATTATGGTCACAATATTATTCTTTCCTTTGGTATTTATCGCTTACGTGAAGGATTCTTTTGAATGTAACAATATTCAGGATAAGGGTAATAAGATTTCTGTTGCTCTAATTTTGATATCAAAGACCATGAATATTGTACGTTCGGCCAGCATTTTTTATCTATGTCAGCGTAAAATTACAAAAATTAAAATGTTCAGCAACCCTCAGAGAATTCACCCCTCGCTCTGTTGAATTTTTTATGCCTTAATGCAAAAATGCCAAGCAACAACAATAATAACAAAAGGCAACCTGTTTAATACTACTGACAATACAAGACGCGAACGTATTGCAGAGTTATTGATATTCTATTATGGCAATTACTCAAGATCAAAATCTCATAGGGAAAGTTTTCAAGGAGTTTGGAGAGTGCTTTGCATGATTTAATTTGCTCAAAGGTTTTATAAATGCGTTTTTCGACCAAAATTGAATTCAAAATTTCGAAATTAATTACAGATTCTCGATGGTCTTTCGTCCGAATTTTCAAATTTAATTCAAATAAAGATTTGATTTTTTTTTCAATTTCGAAGTTATTGAAAAGTCTAGAATTAAAATAAAACTGAATAGAACACATTCGGTATACAGCCGTTGTTAGTAGTCATACGAGCTTCGTTAATGCATTTTTGGCGCTAAACATTCTGCTTTCTATTTTTTACGGCTTAACTTACTTTCTAGGGATGTTATATCTTTGAAAGTCCGTTTCTTCAGATTCTTTTCACAATTTGCACGTATTTATTGAATATTGGCATTCAGAAGACATTTATTGAGTAAAAAGGTTTTTTAAGACACTTTTTGTTTATTAAATGTTTTGTTTGAAAGAATGAAACTTTTCCTTTCCTTTCGATTCCTTAGGTGTTGTTCAAAGTGCATATAAACAAGTCCTCTATTAATATTTGCGTAAAGTATTAAGTTCCAACATGCGTTTGCAATACACTGAGAAGTAATAATTATTTTTCGAAATCTGCATTGGAATAAATCTATGATATTAAAATTTATGATGCCAAGAGGTTAATTACAAACTACTAATCGGGATTCATTTTTATACCCATCACTAAAGGATGAGGGTGTACAAATTTTGTTTTTTTCATAATGTTGTTAACATCCGAAGGGAAGTTTCAAAGACCCTTTGTAGTGTATATATTTTTGATCAGAGTGAAATTTGGATTTATTAAGTCATGTCTGTCCGTTTGTGTGGAGCTTGTTGTAGGCACTCTCCTGATCGTAAAAATGAAGATATCGACTTCAAATTTCACAGTAACATTGGAAGTTTTTGCATGCAGGTAGATATTGAAAATGTGCGAAATCGGTCGGAGCAGAAGTTCGCAGTGAAGCTTAAACCAAATACGAATTCGTTTTTTTTTTACAAAAATTTGTGGGTTTTTGTTCGCCGCTCAGAAATTATAAAAGTGGGGAAGATGAAATTTTCCACACTTATTTTACGCAACGCTCTACTCTTTGTGTGTAAAACTGGAAAACATCGGTCATGCTCACACAAAGCTAAAAATGATTGAATTTAATTTTATTCTCTTTTTTGAGATCTGATGCTTATTCATCATAACGCAAACAAGTCAGAATGTTTAAAACTATATAGACATATTGTCTGGGTTAATTCTAAAACGAATATGGTAGACACTGCGATTAGTTTTCTCAATAATACTAAATCAAATAAAAGAAATTGAAGATTAGAATGCGTAAAGCATAGTAGTGGGTATGCGAGATTCGGCCCCCGCCGAATATAACTTTCTTACTTGTTTAACTTTTTCGCAACAACTTTGCTTATATTGAATTTTTCATTATGAACGTTGCTCTATGAACGATGTAACATCAAGCGAAACGAACGAAAATGAAGCTAGGAAAGAGCCTATATGTAGGCATATAAAAAGTATACATATACATATATGTAAAGTATAAATGTACATATATATACATAATTTTTGTTTTACACGATAGATACGTTCCCAAAAAAGTCGTGTAAAAAAAGATATCCGCTTAAGGGAAAAATAGATTGGGGCAACTAAAAAGTAAAATAAACAATATCAAAATATTCTTGTTAGAGTTTACTTCAGAGTTTGTTCCATGCTTACGCGATTAAATATGTAAACATATTATAAGAAATTAATTACACATTAAATCGACATAATCTAATTGAATTGTGAAAACTATAACGTGAAGCGACAATGCTCACTTGTGAATGAAAAAATTCATAGAAACAACAAAAAACCAAAATTCATCAGAAAAATTCATTAAAAAGGTCATAAAAAAATTCGTAGAATATTGAAGGGCGTGTTAAAAGAAGACAATTCGTATAAGAGGAGAATTTTTGCTTTTTAACTCGTGTTAAAAAGATTCGTGTGAAAAGAGAATACATATGTAATAACAATGAAGCTATAATAACGCAAGTGAAAATATTCTAGCGGGACTCGGCCCACCATTAACTACCTTACTTCAATTCGTTTAATGCAGTTTGCAGTAATGCTTTAAATGGCTTTGTGTAGGGAGTGGTCGAAACGTAATCCGATACGAACCATTTGCATTCATTGCTTATATGTACCGAATTTCATCAAAATATCTCCAAAAATTGCAATCTATACGGTTGAACACAAGAAATTAAGATGGACAGATAGACGGATGGACAAGCTTAATAAAAGGTGAATCCATTTTAAGTCCTTCCGATTGTTGCATACATCCGCACAAACTTAATATATTCTTATACCAAAAGCGTTGTACGGTATAAAAATAGTTACTTTATACACTTACATATATATGTATATATATATATATATATATATATAAAATTAATAAACGAATTTTGCATATTCGGCCCATTTAAATTTTCCTTAATTTAAATTTGGGTGTATTCTGATTAGGTCAATAGACTAAAACGATTGTTTATAAATTTATAGAAGCACGTAACAAATTTATATATGTATTATGAAAATATATTTTCTGAGTTAAAGTTATTATAATTATCTAATCTTATCTATTATTAAGAAGTTGTCTGTACAATTAAATATTTACGTACACATCTACATGTTAACAAAGAATATAATTTTAAGCGAGCCATTATCATATTCAGATTATTTTGTAAAAACTTTCTCATAAATATTTTAATTTCAATTAATTTTTTTTTTTTGTCTTAAAGTTCAAGGTGTTAATACTCGATTTTATTTTATTATAATCTGAGACGCGGCCACGAAGGAAGCATACTTTTTTTCTCATTGCCTAGGTGACATAACGAGACCATAGCTCATCGCAATACATTATCCGTGCGTATTCTGGTCATCGATAAAGTCTTTAAGATAGTATAAAGTAGAAGCTCCGCCTAAAAATTACTGATTTAGAATAGGGGTAAGAGCAGTAAGCATCTCATTTTCTCCGCTGTTTACGTCGATTGCACTTCCTGGGTTCGATTTGTTTTACGGGTTGAAATATCGGTGAAAGGATCTAGTTCAAGTTTTGCCTTCGCAATGAAATATTAAGAAGGGCCTTTCTGTTCTATATGTTCACGTGAACAGTATAAAACACCAACAAAGGTTCAGTCCGTGGCCCACCGCTAGCGGCACACAATGGAACAAACAATGTCGATGCAATTAAGATGAGAGTTTTGTAAAATCGTTATTGAAACTTTTTTAAAATCCATTTGTGCCCTTCTTATGCTTAATTCACCATGAGACACTTTCTAATCCACGAAATGTGGCATTCGCCAGAAACAGGTCATCGTTTCCCTTTGCCGTTTTTCTAAATTATAAACCAATATTTCAAAGAAAATAGTTCGAGTCGATTGATGTCGTAAAAAGAATTGCATAAAAGTTAATCAACTTGATCCAGTAGAGTTATTGTCAACACAATTACATTGCCTCAAACTAAGGCTATTTTAAAGGAGATCATTTATACACCTTCATGATTTACTAAAAGAAATTTTTGGCCGTTTCATGACCTTAAAACGATCACAACTAAAATTGGTTACACTTGTACGCTTGCAGCTGCTAAAAATAACCGGACGAAAAATCACGACCGAGTCTTTTATACTCGTCACCGTGATCCTAAAAAAAAAAAGAGTGGAAACACCTATATTTTTGTACTCTCTAATATTGGGTAGGTGTGGCCGATTGTTCCTATTTTCGGAATAAAAGTGAAAATTTATGTTGTTGTGCATTAACATCATATGTATCGTACTTGATGATGAAGCAAAAAACACGGAAGACAGGAGTGTTTGCAGTTGTTGCTATATAGACGTGGGCATTGTAGGTGTGTTCTTTGAGTCATATTTAAACTCTTCTCGCAAGTTTATTGGAGATACCTTCAATTTTGCGAACGGGAGAACGTTTGCCACAGATACACAGTTGCTCAGACGGACAGACGGGCACATGAACAAATGATCAGACAGGCATACTTAGGTGCATTCTGAATTTGGAACTAGCCAAGAATTTATGTATATTTTAGGGTTTTTGAAGCTTATTTTTCTTTACGTTACAAAAGTTTTGAAAAAAATTGAAATCATGACACACTATAAAATTAAGTAAACGTGGCCGATTTTTTCATTCTTGTAGAGGTACTAGAACATCGCCCATAGAATATAAACTTTAAATTTTTGTGGATTTATCTGTGGCAGTTTATGAGTGATGAGGAAAAGTCAATATTTTATTTCCTTTGAAGAACAGGGATATCCTCACTTTACGTGATGCTGTAGGCGTGTCCTTTGGCCGATTTCGCCCATTTCAATACCAACCTGGGTGCAAGAACTTTCAACGTTTTATTTGAGTTTTTTTTAAAACGAAAACAAACTCTCTCTCTCTCGCAAAACTTTTTTTTTTGTATGGCCTTGGCTAAGTTATTTATTGCTATTAAAATATCTGTAAGATCCATTTTCAATTTTTTAAAGCATTTAAAATTTCTAACCATCCTTGTGTATTAATGTATTAGTTTTAAATATATAAATATTTTAATGATTATGCCAACGAAAGAGAAAATACAAAAAAAGATCGCAAGATGATATTACCCCTTAACTCGAATAAGCGTAAATATACCTATCCGGTCTGTGCTGACACACTTGTTATTTAGGGTGAACGCTGACAAATGTTCAAGATTTTGTTCATGCGGAATACAGTTCTCTTTAATTAAATTAATACCGGGTGGAATAGCAAGTGGAGGGAATAAACGTTTCTAGTTCCTGAATTTTCTTCGGTGAAGAATTACAATTGCTTTCTTTTTTTATAATTGCATAGGACAATTGCGACTTGAACGTTTCAATATGCATTTTTGTTGAGGAATATCGTAGTCATATTCATGTACACATGAATATAATGTTTTGATAACAAAAGTATTTCGATATACGAAGCTTGCCTCTTCGATGCAATCCTTTAGTTTCTTTTCTAACCGTGCGGTTCTGAAACTGTTTAGACATGTGCGCGTGTCTGCTATCTATTTTTGCAATGTTCGCCATAGCAAAAATTGTGATAGGCGTAGTATCCATAAAAAATAGCAAAAAGCTTCAATTTTAAGCTTTTATCAAAGGCTCAGTAAAAATAGGTTGGAACCATCAGGGTAGTCACCAAAGCGAGCAATTGAAGGGTTTAATTAAATATTTCACAGACTTTACTAAAAGGCAAATTTCGAGGCAATTCCGACCGAACGCTGGTGTTGAATATTACAGATTCATGTGGAGACAAGGCGAGACTATAATTAACCCGTCGATGGAAAGGGGCCTGTTCAAGGGGAATCGGGTATTTAGAAAAATTATGCGTTGTCTATGTAGGAGCGGAGATTGCCTACTTCTTACACATACAGGGAATTTGCGTAGGAAGGCGTCATTTTTGTTACCTTCGTCCAAAATTATTATACCCATAATCGAAGGATGAGAGGTATATATATATTGTCAAAACGTTTGCAACGCCCAGAAGCAAGTGTCGTGGACTCCAAAAAGGATGTATATTCTTAATTAGCATAAAATTCTAAATCGATATAAACATGTCCGTTTGTCTGCCTGACCGTCTGTCCGTCTGTGTGATGTCTGTTTTGAACATTCTCCTGGCCGCAAAAGGGAAGCTATCGGCTTCAAATTTGGCAGAAAGATTGGAAGATTTTCCACGCAGGTGGTTATTGAAAACGGTCCAAATCGGTCGAAGGACACGCCCACACTGCCACGTAACCTGAGTACATCTTTGTTTTTCAAAGGGAATGAAAAATGGGTTTTTGCTCATACTCATAAGCTGTAGCAATGAATATACAAAAATTTGAACACATATTCTTAGGGAAATCCTGTAGCATTTGTGCACAAAAATTGGAAAAGATTGACCAAGCCTATCCAATATTATACTGTATCAAAATTTAAATATTTTTTCAATACCACTATAACGCGTAGAAAAAATCTTCGAAAACCCCATAAAGTATACAAATTCTTGGCCAGTTTCATATCTTGAATACACCGAAAGACATCCGCCCGTCCATCTGTCTGCTTGCGCAACTTTGTAGCATTTGTGGTAAACATTCCTCCGTTAGCGAAAATGAAGACATCGCCTACAAATTTGGAAAAAAATTTCGACTTGACCTAAACTTTTTAAAGGTTACATCTACAACGCCCATATGCCTGTACGATAAAAACTTTTATTTTGAAAATAGAAGAAATCAAGTGAGCCCTCTTCATATTACGGACTATGAGGATTTTGTTCTTTCATTTCTTTTGTTTTTTTTTTTTTTGCGTGATGGGTAAAAAAGATTTGGTCCCGACCAAATTTAATTTTTTTACTTGCTTTTGTTTAGTGTTGTTTTTAGCGTTCAAATTTGCCAGGATCTACGATATGATTATAAAATCGGGCATTCGTCAACATTGTTTGCTTACTGCGCAAAAGTTTCTTTATTCTTGTTTGCATTTTCGTACAGTTTTTAGGTACGCTAACGACGACTACGTCCATTATAATGAATAAGTAAGCCGAAGCGGTAACCGCAAACGATTACGAATTTGGCGTACGTTATCTAACCGATATCTAACTTGAGTAGAGAAACTGCACTTTTCTGGATGAAAGTAAACAAAAATAAATTTATCAGATTTGGCACCGTTGTCAATTCAATTACCGCACGCGATTTATACGAAAATATCTTAATACTTTGCGATCAACATAGTCGGTCGAATATCTTAGATGCGCGATTCGGTAATAGAGGGAGGCCGCTCTTCGCTATTATATTTACTGGTCATTTTTTTCACAAACATACTTATATACATTTATTCTGCTATTTTGCTTTGAAATTTTCCTTCCTTTTATCTCTCGGCTATGGATTCAATATAATTTGAGCTGCTTTCTTCATATCTTTTGAATATGCGTAATCTTATAATAATTTTGTACACATGCCATCCCTTTAGGCCAATAAGGAAAATAAAAGCACTCCACCACGTGATGCACCGCCACCCACACCAATAACCAAAGGCATCAATTTATCAGCAACACCAATTGTTAAAAAGGAGAAACGACAGATCAGTTCACGTTACAATGTGTCAAAAAATTGCGAACTTACACCATTGCCGCCATTAAATGAAAGTAAGTAATGAAATATAAATGTTTACATAAAATGTTTCTTTATCCAAAAAAAAAAAAGTTGTTGCTTCAAGTTATAAAAAATTGCAATTCCAGACAAGACTTTTTAACATAGCATACATTTTTCCTTTAACCCATTATGTTTTAAAATCATATAGAAGGCAACAATTGCGCAACATCATCGTCTCTTACTTTCTATCTATCTATTTCCTCCTGTCAGACACTCTCTCTCTCTCTCTCTCTCTATCTATCTATCTATCTCTCTACCTCTCTCTCTTTCTTTCTTTATATAAATGTGTCTCTCACTACACGGAAATATATATCTACACGTATATTTACTCATCATAATTTCACCATATCTCCTATGTATGTATTCAGCTCTTACTCTTTTTGTCTATGCAAGCCTCTTTCTCTCTCTGTAATTTTTTTTTTATTTTTTTGTTTTGTTTTTTTCCAAAAACAGCTTGGCAAATTCCTTTATATATGCACATGTGTGTAGTAATTTTGACACCTAATATGTCTTAAATAGAGACAAAAACTATGTGGGGTAAGAGAATAAGAGAGACATGAGATTGTATTGATTTTTGACATAATATCCTCTCTCATTCTCTTTGCTCTCTTACTACATTTTTTAACTAAGTAACTATAAACTGTGATAAATATAATCAAAAATTCCTAGTCTATGCACTAAGTTTGCTGTGATTCGTTCTGGTGATAGCACGTTCAAATTCATGGTTTTGGTTGTTTAAATTAAATTTATAAATATTCTCTTTTCTGGAGTTTCTATTGAATTGCTGTGTTGTCAGTCAGTATTAATTGCGTCTTTGAAAATAATGAATAAATAAGAAAAAAAAAAACTTTTTTGTTTTTGATTTAAAAAAAAATTACTTTGTTAATCGAGTAATTAATTAAAATAGAAAAACTCTTCTTTATTGACTCGGTAGATATTTTATATATTTTCAATGTGTGCGTCCATGGCAATCTGCAAACAACATAGTCATTGTCAATCAAACCAAACCCAAAATGTATAAACGACGGCCGGTTATTAATTGGAAAATCAATATGTTTGTTGTTAGATTTTTTTTTTGTTTTTAATTTTAAAAAAGGATATATTTATGCATATCAACTACCACTTTTATGGATTAAAATAATACTTGAAAGAACCTTTTCCCTTAATGATTGTTTTAAAATTTTTTTTTATGTTCACCGTCGTACGTAGGCAACTTCAGTTTTTTTCAAAAGTTTCTGTTGCATGAGCATTCCTGAAGCCGCGACTAGAATTAAAATAACAGTTACAATTCGAAACCTCTGTTTTAAAGGGTCAACTTTTTATCTGCAGTTTAGTCCTACTACTCTAGTCAGAGGTGTCTACGTTTTATCAATGTGTTGCAATTACCATTACGATCGTAAAGCTTTGTCTAAAACGAAATTAGTCACGAGAGATTGCTCCTATAATTATCAAAAACTACATTTCAGGCATTATATTTATGTATTACTCGAGCAGAACTTTTAGCTTGCAGTCGCATACAAAAGCTTAACTTTTTTACAGGTAAAATGCAAATGTTACGTCTGCAATCAGCTAAATTAAGTGCCTCACCCACAATTACGAACAAAAAATTTGTGGTTTTCTTGTTATGCATTTACCCACGAAGCGGGATCGAATTTTGTAAAAGCATGATTAAAACAAGACCGACCATTAAATGCCCAAGCCACTTGAGCTAATATAATTGTTCATTTGTTTTCGTGATAAAGCTTTCTATACGAAGGAGCGCTTTTATATGAAATGGAGTCCGAAAATTTCTAAGTGTTGTGTTAAAATTTGGTGCATTTAAATATTTATGTCAAATGACTTAAAAAGTCAACTTTCACCTAGAATTGTAAAGAAATGGCAAACTTTTCGTAGGAATGATTATATGGGAGGAGGATCCGTTATTTATAGATATTTTGAAGATATTTTGGAAATTGTAATTTTTTTTTGATATAACGACTTCTTCAAAACAAAGCGCTATATATGTAATGGTCACAATGGTCGTCTGACGAAAATCATTTTCAAGACTATTCGCCCCGGCTTAAAAGACACAGTGCACCAAACTTCGTCCAACCAATTTAAAAAATTGATGTCTTTAGAGCATGAGTACTAAAATACGTGAACCGATAAAATGGCAGGGTAACTTAAATAAATTCAGAAAATGATTCTGAATCGATAGGTATAATAAAAGGTTGTCGTAAGTTCCTCTGGATTTTACACAAACTGAACATATTCAGGCCTTCAATGGTTTAATGAAGACATAACGGAAATTTTTAAATTCCGCATCTTTTTTATTTATTTTTTGTCTCATAGGAGGGCTAGTTAAAAATTTTTTGTGTAAAGAAGTGCAACGAAAAGCTTTAAAGAACGGAAAGGAAGTTTCTTTGAACGCCGATAAAAGACATCGAGTACAATACGATTACAAAATATGGGGAACAATATAAAAACTGTATTTCATTCCGGAAGAATCACCATTAGAGATATGAGGAATTTTATATAGGCCATGCGAAACCAAGTTTCAATAAGAACTGTGCCGACGCAAAATGTTTTCCGCGACTGCCGATATTTCCAGAAATTCGGAATGAAGCACAACATGGTTTCGACAACGCAACCAAGCTGGCTATTTAGTTGTTAGACTCAAAAGACGGCTTTAAGCATTATCTTCTCCAGATCTTAGATGCTTAGCTTAGCATGATATTGTCCAAAGAGTTATTTATTCCATCAGTGTTTTGCAAAGAACATTTGCGTTTAAAAAAGTACACGACATTAAAGTCAATCTCTTTGGAAGATAATGGAATAAATAGCCAAAAGTATGTGTAATACTCTGCGGGCAAATCAAATATTTCTGTTAGTTTTCGGTGAAGACGTACCTGTACAATGATATGTAATTGACTGCTTATACTTACATGGTATATGGCATCTGCAATAACATCCCATAAAAGAAATTAAATATTTCTGTCGGAATGTATACATATCACGACATCAAGAAATTCCGTCGCGACCGATTATATAACTTGTCCCTTTTCCCAGCCAATAGGCCACGCTAGACTTGAGGTGAAGTGAAGTTCATATTTTAAGTTTTTTCTTATTTATATTTGCACGTAATCACTACTACGCAAGCAAAGTCATGTAGATTAGCATCTATGAGTCTATGAATCTCATTTTGGGCAAATATAAACTTGTGTTGTAGCATTTAATTTTATTAAAGCATTTTTCTTCCATCATTTAAAAAGCAGAAACTTTTCTTTGAACTATTTCTTTACACACGTATATTTTGTATCTAAAATATAAAACAACAATTCATATTTATTAAAAATTCATGATTTATTGTGCTTTTCATTTCCAGATGCTTGGTATGCTTTAATATAAATAAGATTGTTTTTTTTTCCAATTGAGTGTGTTTAAAGTTAAAAAAACAAAACAAAGAAAAAAAAAAAAAAAAAAAACCAAATCAAAAAACAAAAACCAAAGATTAAAAGAAGAAATTTTTTTTTTAGAAAAACATTTCTCGTTTAGCTTGTCATCGCAAAAATATGAATTTAGTGAATGTAACTTATTCGTGTAATTGTGAGTTGCAATGAAATGGTATTTAATGCTATGTTATTTACAACGGGCCCAGACGCCAATATTAACTCTGAATCGAAACAGCGTAACGAAAATCAAACCCAAAATTTTACTCGCATTGCTGAAAAAATAAAAGTTCTTAAAACTCAACAGTCCGCAATTAGGACAGATCAAAATCAAATTGATTCAAATGAATGTGATACAATTAGCAACGGTCGCGATTTATTGTCAACAAATCAGGCGGAGGCGCCGTTAAGCGGTTATTATAACTTGCGAATACCGAAGTCGCCTTCTTTCCATAGCGGTCTTGCCTTATTAGCCGGCAACGGCGATCGAAGGGACGGTGACGCGCGACAAACGAATGGTATCGATTGTAGGCAAGCGGCAGTAGTAACAAATCGTGGTCTTGGTTGTAAATTTAACTTTGCAAATATTGAAGAATTGAAAGCAAAATTTTCATATAGTTCCTCGGCATCAAGTACCGTAAAAAAGTTATATAATAAAATGCCAGCTCTGCAACCACATGAAAGCGGTCAGAATCTCACTACATCTTCATCATTAAGTTCATCTTCAATAGCATCCGCAAATTCATCATCGAATTCATCGAATTCATCGACCACATCTCAATCGATATCCTCCTTAAACGCAGCCAATACACCTTCTTCACTCTTCTCTTCCACCAATACCTCCTCTGTGGCAGTTTCCGGTACTTCAGGAGATGTTTCAAATGTTGCCCATCAAGCAACAGTGATACTTAATGCAACAACTGCATCAGGTGGTGGGGGAGGAAGTGCAGTCAGTGCTGCTGCTGCTGCTGTTACAAATTCCATTTCAGCTACCACTTCATCCATTGTATCCACACTGGCCCAACATTTCAATGCCGCCACATCGGCTACTTCACTTTTAAATACCGCCTCATCCACGCTTGGTGCTACCAATAAGGTTTGATTGATTTCTCCAAACATTTGGGTGTACATTTTCGTTCAATACTTTTTCGTTTTTCTTTTTCTTGTTTGAGTTTCGTAAAAAAATGTTCTCAGATTTTGTTTAATTACCATAAAATATTTGAAAAAGCTTACATGTACATGTATAAGAATCTCTCGTTTGTTTTTCTATTTCTTTTCAATTTATTCCTTCTCCCCAAATACATCAATGACGCAATTTTATATACCATCCACACTCGTGTAAACATTTTTGAAAAACATTTGAAACATGGTTGTCACGTCTTCAAACGCTTAAACGCCGTTAGTCGCCGGTGAGTGCAGCTGCTGCTATTAAAAATATACTGAATGCTACAAAAAATGTGGGAAATTCTATTAATACTAATAATAATAACAACAACAACAACAACAGCAACAGCAATAATAACAACGGTAGTGCCCAAGTTCAAGGCTTAGCCCCTTCTTCTATTGTAACGGCAATGAATGCTGCTACCAACAATACTACAACAGGTTCGGTTACTCAGAGCATAGTTAGCGGCATAAGTATATCGTTGGGTATAGGAAATTCATCTAACAACGCCAATCGTAACATTGCCTCAACAGCGACGCCTTTAAATAACCAAAAACTTCTTAACACGGGTCAATGTCAAAATGGCAATGAAGGAAATTTCAATAGTGGCGGTGGTGGCATTGCTGGTAGCGATGTTACCACCCTTAACAGTACAAGCGATGGGAAAGTTAATGCTATCGGTGCGGGAGGTTTGATGACGCAAACATTACAACAAATTACCGGCAGTCCAGGACGGGCGAGAGACCGCAATATTTTTCATTCACCCTCATCTTCACCGGCTGCTGTGCAATTACCTTTGCTACGAGGTTCTATAATGCATACAAAAACATATATTAGAAATTACTCTTTTTTTTTTTTTTTTTTTTTTTTAACCTCAGTTTATTGGCCTTTGTTTTTTCTTTTGTTCACTTTCTTTCTCTTTCCCTCTCATTTCAATTCGTAATATTTTGATTTTGGTTGCATTCTTTATTGGTTGTTACTTCATACATTTATTTTTACTTTCTTTCAAAAAGTTTCTTTTGTGCATATGTGTTCTGTATTTTTTTTTTGTTTGTTTTTTTTTTTTTTGTTTTCAGTTCACTTGTTTGTTTAGCTTAGGAACATTAACTTAAGTATATTTTGGACATTTTATTTTCTCATTACGATTATTGCATATTAGCGACTTAGGTTGAATAACGAGTTGAAGAAGGTTTCCTGACTTCAACTACATATATGCGTATGATAAACGGTAGCCTCATAATTAATTTCTAAAGTAGATTTAAAAAATACTTTTAGAGGAGATTTATTCATTTTTTTAAATATTTTTGCGAATGTAGGACGGTTTTATCGAAAAACTCGATCGATCTTTCGAACCCTTGATATTATCTCAAAGGTTCTTCTTTGCAACGAATTTTATTATTTTATCTCAATCTGTTTAAAAGCTCTTTGGTAATTGAGGTGTGTGCTAATTAGGTGAGGCAGCGCTATTATGTTACATATTCGATTGAAATTTCATATTAATATTTATTTATATATAGGTCATAATTTCTGTTTTTATGCCCATCACTGTAAGGTGGCGGTATACTCCTTTTGTTTTTTCCCATAAGGTATGTAACTCCCAAAAGGAAGCTTCCGAGACCCTATGAAGTATATATATTCTTGATGAGGGTGAAATTTTGAGTTAGTTAGTTTAGTTAGTTTGTTTGTTCGTCTGTGTGGTGTGCGTTGTTGACCCTTTCCCGGTTGCAAAAATGAAATTATCGACTTCAAATTTGGTGGAAACATTAAAGGTTTTTGCACGCAGGCTTGTATGGAAAATCGGCCAAATCGGTCAAAGCAGGAGCGCGCAGTGGAGGGTAAAATGAAAGCAACTCCGTTTTCCATAAAAAGAATTTGTGGGTTTTTGCTCGTTATTCCGAAATGACTAAAGTTAGAAGGCTGAAGTTCTCCACTATAACTTTACGAAAAGGTCCACTCTTTACGTGCAAAAATGGAAAAGAAACCGCCTTGACTACATAAAAGTTACAAGTGATTAAATTATCCTTTTTTTGTGTTTATTCGTTATAAGGCAAGGCAAACAAGATAGGATGTTTAAAATTACTTTGTACATTCCTCAAATGATATGAAGATGAATTAAGATATATCATCTGGGTTATTTTTAAAATGAGTATGGTACACACTGCGGTTAATTTTCTCCTAATAATATCCGCGATATGGGTATCAAATAAAGGAACTTGGAGAATAGAATACAAAAAGCATAGTAGCAAGTGTGCGAAATACCCCCCTCTCCCATGGCCGAATTTAACTTTCTTACCTGTTTTTTGCGTATTTTTTACTTAGTCCTGGGCTTATGGTTCTCGATATATGTGGCTTACGGACTCGCTGCAAGGAATAGAGTTTACAACTCTTAACCAAACTATCTATTCGAATGAAAAGTCTTTCGATCGTAAAATTGCGGTTGAATGACATATTCAAATTACAATCGAGTTTACTCGATATTGGCAACCACGAACATACGGCTGAAGATTTCGAAAGGTCTACTTATGTATATATTTTTTTGCAGGATAAGTTAAAAGATAAGTTTCTTCGATTGACATATTCTTTACATGTTCTTGCCCGGATCGTGCCATGCGTGCAAAGATAAAATTAGTAGAAAATTGGAGAGAAAGCCATAATTTTAATTCCTATGTATTTTATTGATTTCGGTAGTTCGAATTTGAAAATAGTCTGCTCAAACGAAAAGGTCAAACTATATTGTGCGTCATTACGCTATCCTGGAACGATTTTCCAAAACAACTGTCGCTATAACTACACCGTTTTTCATCCAAATATTTGGCAGTATCTGTAAAGTAAAGTGGTAAAGAGAAATGCGTATTTTCGATATGTGAACCATAAATATTGTTTAGTAATCAAGGCCTGTGATATCCTGCGCGCAAGCTGAAATCTTTTTGTTCACTAACTTGCCAACCACACAAAAAGTAATAATTGATAAACGTCCAATGTGGCTTATTAACATTTTGTTTTTAAAAGTTCCTCATAAGGCCATGGGTTTATCGGAACAATCATTGTAATCTATATAAAATTTTTCTGCTATATATTCAAGCATTATATTCTTCCTTATGTGTTATTGACGGTTATGGCTTGGCTGATACGTACCAACCACTAGTTATTATGGGCTGACCTCAATAGTTAAAGAAAGTTCATGGCCCAAAAATATCAATATAGTACAGGCACTCCTATGTTTACTCATCGCATATTTATGTCTTATTGGCACAGAAACTTTATGAAGCGTATATGATTGAAATTTTTCCACATGTCGCTTATCGAAAAGGCCCTAACGACGTAAGTTCGCGTTATTGCATGCAATTTTATTGCGATTTACAGATTTGCAATAAATATTTAAATAATTTACAAACGAAGATTTAGTGAGTACTTGACGATTGACAACTAAATGATAGAATTTGATGAAATCAAATCTGAAAGGAAGATAAAATAAATTTCACATTATTGTCTTATAACAAGGATTCAGATTATAAACTCTGTATAAGGTGTTCGGTATTCAAAATTCGTTTTCATCTTCCCTTTACTTACTATACTCTTCACCGAAGGATGAGGGGTGTATTCATTTTGTCAAAACGTTTGTATCGTTCAGAAAGAAGCTTCAGGGAGCGTACAGAGTATATATATTCTTGATACAGATCAATTCTAAATGAATTCTGAATAAGCATGCCCGTCCGTCCGTCCGTCTGTCTTTTGTCTGCTATAAACATTCTTCTGTACGTACGGAGTGTATGTACTCTTGATCAGCACCAATTCTGAATGAATTCTGAATTAGCATGCCCGTCTGTCCATCTGTCCTTTGCCTGCTATAAGCATTCTCCTGTCCGCAAAAATGAAGTTGCGGACTTCAAATTTGGAAAAAAAAAAAAATAGCAGAGGTTTTTGCGCACAGCTTGGTATTGAAAACGGGACAAATCATTCGAGGGACGTGCCTATAGTAACACGTTTTTTCCTCGTTGCTTATAAACTACAACAGACAAATGTACAATAATTTAAATGTTTATTCTGCGACAGACGCTGTAGTACCTGTACAAAAACAGCCTACCTAATATTATAGGGTCTTAACGTTGAATTTTTTTTTCAGTATCCGAAAGTATAAAAATTCTTGGCCCGTCTGTCTGCCCAAACTATGTAGTATCTACGGTAAACATTCTCTCATTCGCGAAATTGAAGATGTCGCCTACAAGTTTGCAAATTTAGAAGTGACCAAAACTTTTCAAAGGACACGCCTACAACGCCAACATGCTTATGCGACAAAAACTTTTATCCTGAAAAGAGAATTAATCGCTACATTATAAAGTGTAAAAAATTCAATTCTCGTAATTGTTTTCTGCTTTTGAGGATAACGGTGGCGGGTATAAAAGATTCGATCATGATCGAACATAATTGTCGTACTTGTTTTGCATTTAATTTCGCTATTTACTACCTATACAAAGCATTTGATTGTCAATTGTTTTCAACTTAATTGTCAGACAATTAAGATGAATAAGAGCAACGAAATGACTGCATACGTAATTCTATGTTTTGTACTGTTGTCATTCTATTTATAATAAAAAATTTGTTCGTACACACATACAGATATTTGTTGGTATGAAAAGTCGAGAGAAATGAAAACTAAATGCAAATTTAAATGAAATTCCCATTTGGTTTGTTAGAAAAACTTGTTTACAACATTTTAAGTTGAGCCAAGTGCAAGGTCAATCACCTGCTCAAATTGTTGTTTTTGTGTTATGATATTTTACTTGCCTCTTATTTTTGTTTAACAATTAAAATGTCAAGGTTAAATAATATTTATCATTTGCATTGTCTCTTTTTACAATAGTTAACGACGATTCTTTTTTTTTTTTAATTTTCCACAATTTACGGTTTGATTATTGCTCTATACGTAATGCGAATGTTCTTTCTCATATGCATTTTAGCTTTTCGTGTGAGATTGATTGAATTTGCTCATTTTTTTGATGACAAGGTACGCAAGCGCACTCTCCTTCTCGTCTCGCTGAATAGGTCATCTTTCAGTTTTGCTTTGATTGCTGGAAAAGTTATTCTGCCCGTACCGCATCACCATCGTAAACCTTAACAGTATTTGTCAAACCCTTTATATATATGCATGACCCGGCTAACGCTCGCTCAGTTCTGGAGTTTAATGAGTTCTTAAATGAAAGCATTAGGGAATTTCCGTAATCAGGATAGACAAACACATCGGAAAGTTCATAAAACATGTATTCTTGTGCAGCGCAAACCTCTCCCTACTTCTTCTCTATTCAAAAATGCGATTGCAGCAAAAGGGATCAAACCTTTGTTCAGACACAACCGTAGTCTCAATTTTTATTTCGATTCTGAGCCATTGCTATGTATAGTACTGTATGGTAAAAGGCCAACCTGCGTTCATCTTCCTTGGATCGCAGCATTACTATAACCGTATTTGTCGTCAAACATTTGTTGCTTGATTTTATAGACACGCAAAAAGTGATAGAGTGTTTCACCCATCCTTTCGCAGAATCTGCAACAATCGGTATCTGAAGTATTTTTTAGGCAGTATCTGATTGAGCCACGTCTATTGTAGAAACTATTGAACTAGCGTAGGCCGCTAAATCATATGTTTAGTGGCTTGTGTGTCGTATCGTGCGATTTAATAAATCTTTTTCCTTGCCATTGTCCTATTCGTTTTCAATGGCTTGCAGATTTATTTTATGTCCACTGCAGTTTCAACCCTTTAACGTATCTTTCCAGCGTTTCGTATAAAAATTTTGGATCTGTCATCATCATT